AGTCTTTCAATTCCAAAATTAAATGACTTGATCAGTGTAGTGCAAGTGCCTACCCCTGGTTCATTCAACAGTGGTAAGCGGGATGGTAAACATAATATATGCAGAAGTTTTGGAGGTCTGTCATTGTAAAAGGGGAGGAAATGGAGACACTGAAAATACCCTGACGTCAGAAGATGTCTTAGTATATGTTCCTTTTTAATTTTTTTGGTACTAGGGATTTAACCCAGGGGCGCTTAATCACTGAACCACATCCCCAGCCCTTTTTAACATTTTATTTTGAGACAGGGTCTCGCTAAATTGCTTAGGGTTTCACTAAATTGCTCAGGCTGGCCTCAAACTCAGGATTCTCTTGCCTCAGCCTACCAAGTCACTGGGATTATAGTCAAGTGCCCCTATGCCTGGCTTAGTATATGTTCTTTAAGGGAAATGGATTGCTTTCTTTCTTCCTTCCTTCCTTTCTTTTGGTATAGAATGTAGGGAAGCCATGAAATATACAGCAGGGGCTGGACTTTTTTCTAATGTATATGAAGTCTTCACATTCTTAGTAGGGACCAAGTTTTTTGTTTCAGAGTCCTCAGTAAATTCTTCACTACACATAACTTCCTCCATCTTGCTACATTTGATATTTGAGATGAAGCACACATGTTTTAATGTTTTCCTGCAACAACTGGATTATACATTCAAGGTCATCACTTCAGCCTTGTTCTCTGGAGTGTTTTCAACCTACCAAGCAAGGTTCCCAGATGCCATGCTGTCTTAAGCATGTCTGTTTCTCATGTTTTTCTTTTGTCTCACTCTGTCTTATCCCAAAAGCTTACACTCCTACCTTCTCATCTTGGAAGAACCTCTTCCACTCCCTTCTGCAGGCTAAGTTGGCATCCTTGCTTATACTCCCATAGCCACCTATATCATAATATCACCACAGGGGTACCCACTGCACTCTGATCGACTCATTTATTTTCTGTTTTACTTTTTTAATTGCAATTCACCCTGTAACATCATTGCCTAAAAAGGGCCTGGCATCTAGTAGAACCTCAAGAAAAGAGCCAGGAGTAGTGGTGTATTACACACACCTGTAATCCCTGTGACTAGGGAGGCTGAGGCAGGAGGATTACAAGTTCCAGGCCAGCCTGGGCAACTTGGACCCTGTCTCAGAATGAAAAAATAAAAGATCTGAGGATGTAGCTCCTTGGTAAAATGTCCTTTGTATTCAATCCATAGTACCTAATTGGGGAAAAAAAAAAAAGGATCAATGAATGAAACGAGTCTTGGTTCTGTAAAGTTTGATTGTATTTGTCAACTTTCCATTACTATAACAAATATGTAATATAACCAGCTTTTAAAGAAATAAGGTTTATTTTGGCTCATAGTTTTCCAGATTTTCATCAGTAATCAATTGGCCCAGTTGCTATGGGCCTGTGGGAACATGTAGAGGGGCAGAGCTACTGGCCTCATGGCTGGGAAATGAAAGAAAAGAGGAAATGAACAGGGTTCCACAATCCCCTTCAAGGGCATCCCTCTAGTCACCTAAAGATCTCCCATTTAGCTCCGACATCCTAAAGGCTCCAGCACCTTCTAATAGCACCAGTTGGGAAGCAATCCTTTACCACATGGACCATTGGGGGAACATTCCAGATCCAAACCATAGCACTGACTTTATATTTTCTGGTCTTTCATCAGCAGCTGTAGTGTAAAAGTTGAGTATAGATTCTGATGTCAGACTTCTTAGGTCCATATGCCATCTCTGTTAGGTTTCTTAGCTTATGAGCTTACTTAACCTCTCTGGGTCCCAGTTTTCTTATCTGTAGATGATATAATGATGGCACTTGTTGTACCTAGAAAGTGCTCCAAAAATCTTAGTGATTATTATCAACCATCTATCACCAAGAAACTGTAGCACTAGGTATGTTTCATTAGCAATATATTCTGTAGAAATGCTTAGTTTTCTCAGCAACCATTCACCCTTAGAGATGGATGAGGTTGTTGCCTAGCAATGCTTCTATTATGTGTGGTAAGAGATAAGGAACCTAAATGTATCTGGGAATTGAGGAATGGGTTAAAACCTCCATCAGTGGATGTTTTCTAAGCAAGAGGGTGTGTTTATTGTATTTTATTGTGATTGTATCTGCTTTCTACAAATGTGTGAGCTTGTTGGAGATAAGTAAAGATTTGGTGGAATGATTGACATGTGGTTTCCTAAGGTCTTAAAGAGTTATGTTGGCAAGATTGGTGACCAAAAAAGCATCATTTTAGGAGCACAAGGCTTGATGGGATATTTTGTGTAGACACTGACAAATTATTCCTAAAATTTTTATGCAAAATGCAAAAGATCTAGAATAGCCAAAGCAGTTTTTTAAAAAGAGCAAAGTTAGAGGACTTTTCATTTTCTAATTTTAAAAATTACTATGAAGCTATAGTCAAGATGGCATAATACTGTCATAATAATAGACATAGAGATCAATGGAACAGAACTGAAAGTCCAAAAATAAATCTTTATATTTTTGTTCAATTGATTTTTGACAAAGATGCCAAAGCAATTCATTGGAGAAAGAATAGCATTTTTAACAATGATAGGACAATTGGATATCTTCATGATGAACTTAGACAGTCTTTTTTCTCACACCATGCATAAAAATGAACTGAAAATGAATTATAGGCAAATATAGGTTCTAAAACAATAAAAGTTAGGAGAAAACTTTTGAGGCATCAGGTTAGATAAAGAGTTTTTAATTATAACAATAAAAACACAGTTCATCAAGGAAGAAATGAGTAAATTTGACATCAAAATTCAAAAATTTTGCACTTAAAAACAGAAGAAAATGAGAAGACAAACAGCAGACTGGGAGAAAATATTTGCAAAACACGTATCTGATAAATTATATCCAGAATATATAATCATATACCTCAATAATGAGCAGAGAAAACCCATTTAAAAATGTTCAAAATATTTGAATAAAAATTTCATCAACAAATTTGGATGGTTAGTAAGCATATGGAAATATAGTCAAAGTAGTCATCAGGCAAATGCAAATTAAAACCATAGTGAGATGTCATTATCACACCCACTAGAAAGGGTATACTAAAAATGACAGAAAACAAATATCATCAAAGATGTGGAGAAATGAGAACCTTTATACATGCTGGTGGAAATGCAAAATAGTGCAGCCACTTTGGCAAATAATTTGGCAGTTTCTTAAAAAGTTAAATATATATTTACAATATTATCCAGAAATTCCAATCCTAGCTATTTACCCTAAGAGAAATGAAAGCATATGTCCCCATAAAAACTTGGATGCAAATGTTCACCACAGCTTTTTTTTTAATTCATTAAGTTATCAGAGAAGCCAGCTACAAGAGACCATATATTACATAGTAGTATTTATATGAAATGGCCAGAAAAGGCAAATCTATCGAGACAGAAAGTAGATTAGTGGTTGCCTGGGGCAAGTTAAGGGGTAGTAAATGGAATGGATGGTGAATATACAGTATCTTACTAGGGTGATAGAAATGTTCTCAAAGTGCTTCATGGTTATGATTGTACAGCTTGGTAAATTTATGAAAAATTATTTGAATTGTCTGCTCGAAATAATTATATGAAATGTAAAATATACTTCAGTAAAGTGATGGTAGGTAAGAAGGAGGGAGGAGAGAGGGAGGGAGGAAGAGTGAGAGAAAGAAAGAGAAAAAAAGAAAACAGGGAGTTTTAGATCTGAAACCTGGCTTGCTACTTCCTGGTTGTGTGATCTCTGACAAGTCTAATTTCTCTTTGCCTCAGTTTCTTGTCAATTAATTTGAGGGAAATAAAAAGTTATGGACTACAAATCAACGATAAGAAGGTTGTGTTAATCCTTTAATATTGGACCATGGAAAGAGCTCAGTAGGCACAGCACATGATTCTCATTGGGGCAGGGGTGGAGCATTGGAGCTTCTTAGATAAAGGCTGTTTCTTCCTGACAGGATCATTGATGGAGCCTTCACTCTACAGCCCATATATGTGGGAGCAACCTGATATTTCAACTCCAGTCCAGTAGCTATTTATATAGGTTACCAGTCAGGTCTTGCCAGAGCCAAGGACAGGAGATTTGCAGGTGCAGGGGAGGGACACCTCACCTTGTCTATGAGGCTTTGAAGAGGAAGCGATATTTCTGTGAGACTTGAAAATCTCCAGAGGCTACCCAGGGGAAGGGGGAAGAGGGTTCACCAAGGCAGGGGTATAGCTTAAGAAACCTGAGAGGCAACAGGGAACTTGCTAAGTTCAATGAAGTTGTGCTACTGAGAGCAGAGGGACAAGAAAAAAGGCTTAGGGTTCCATGGAGGGGCCTTAGGTGCTATGAGAAGGGTTTATTTATAAGGAGGACAATGAGGAGCCAATGCTTAATTCTAAGCAGATCTCAGATCTCTCAATCACATGGTCTAATGGCATCTGTGTGCCACACCTTGAGAGAATCTGCTCTGTTAATGAGGAGCAAATAAATGTCCCCTAGATGGTTGTGGCTTGGGGTTTGCATTCACCCTACTCAAGTGCAAGTGCTCCTCCAGAGACCACATCCATGCTAGTGCCCGGCTGAGAACAGTTTCACAGCTCCCACAAGGAGAATAAAAGTCACGAAGTGGTGGCTGGGAGCCTGTCTGCAGTGCCAGACTTCAGAAAAGCAGAGGACTTTTAAATGTTTCATAAACTTCACTGTGGGTGCCTGCTCTGGCTGAGAGCCCATTAATAAGCCTGGGTGGCGGAGGGGCAGGTGTCGTGCTGGTTACTATAACATTACCTGGGGAAGGATCACTCGGAGAGAGCCACAGGCAAGCTGGAGAGAAGCAGGAGGGGCCGGAGCCCAACCACAGATGCTGCTGCCCGTCTGGGGACCCCTTGTAGGCTGGAGCCCACGTTAGCTTCTCCAGCTGCAGCTAGGGAGGGAGAGAGGCTGCGCTCAGTTTGAGTGGCTGCCTGAGACAGCGGCCACAGGCTGCTGCTGAGCTTGTAGCTTTTGCAAGGAGCTGAATTCCTAGCTAGAAACCCCTGGGCCTCCTTTTTTTTTTTTAATTGTGGAGGGAGAGGAGAGGGTTGTCTCTGCTCGGAGAATCTGGGTTGGCTTTCATCTTCTTTTTTGATTTTAAGTAGTTCCCTCTATGAGAACTGACTTCCAGGTGTTCATCAAGTGAAACAGTGCTCCGTACGCTAGAAATGAGAAAGAATGACAGTTTCTGAGACTGACTATTATTAACGGCTCATAGGTGCCCCCGCAATTCAAAATGCCTTTTAAAGTATTTGATACCTTCAAAGAAAAAATTTTGAAACCTGGAAAGGAAGGAGTGAAGAATGCTGTGGGAGATTCGCTGGGGATTTTACAAAGGTAAAGTTTGAATGTAAACTTTAGGTTTATTTCTGAGTAGCATCACAGTGCCAACTTTGTATCATGTTTATAAACCACATTTTAATGAGGAGGAGATGGGTCAGATTTGATGGCTTCTGGACCCCTCTTCTAGAATCAATATTCTGTGCCAGAAAGGGAGTGTGGGAGATGCATGAAAAGTATTGGGTTGAATTAGGAAATATCAAGACAAGTATTGTTTATCCAGCAGGATTAGCACTTACTGGTAATGGTAATGTTACATATGGTATGTTTGGCATTGAATTAGGGAGACAATATTTCGTGTTAATTCAGTGGTAATAACAATTGTAAATTATGCTTTGAGCTGAAATACATTGTTTTCCACTTTGGTTTTCACTATACATGAAAATTAAATATTTATGATTTTGTTAGCTTGTTATAGAAAATATGTAAAGTGGTTCCTGATTGTATAGTTTTCAAAGAGAAAGACAGTTACACAGTAGTTTGAAGAAGGTCACTTAAAAGATTTAATATTCATTAAAGCAGAAGATCTTACATGTAGCAGTGGGAAATGTTCAGTACTATCATATAACTGAATGAGATTTTAGTCCATACCCAAAGTAAATATTTTTAAAGGAAAATATATTATTATTGGCAGGAGCATTTTCCATAAGTGGGTGAATTGATGTGACATTTTAATTTGTTAAATTTTATGGATGTAGTAAATGTCATCTCAGGTTTTATAGATGAATTAATCAGTAGTCCTTATGTGTAAAGTAGAATGACTCCTTCATCTCTTTGATATAAGTATATGTGAGAAGTACCCTTTATAAGCTTTTTATGTGTTTGAGTAATTATTTCTAATCCTGGTGAAGGAAAATGTCACTGGGCATTTCCTTTTAACTTTTCTATGTTCTCTCTTAAATTTAAAAACTTTTACATTTAAAGGATTATTTCTCAGCAACCTATTTCTGAGATTGTATGTTTTGTGTTTTATAACATACATGCTCCTGTTGGAGTTAAATATTTCACTGTATCACTCTTGATGAGCTTTGGTAAGAAGAGAATGACGTTGGGTTCATTAGACTTTAGTAATTAAAAACAAAAAGACTTTGATCAGCTATGCAGAATTATCACATAGAGGTGAAAACCTCGCTCAGTGACTGCACCACAAACCAATCAAATATAGAAGATGATTATAATAACATTTTTTAAAAGAGTGCTTTATCCTTCTGTTGAACACTCCCCAGGTAACATCTTATTGTGTGGCTTTCACTTGATTAGAAATGCAAAAAGAAGGCACAATGGCTTAATTGGCTTATTCAAACAATGACAAAGGAATCTGGCAGAGTCAGGAATAAAAACCATGATTTGCCAAACAAACCCCCAAAACAAAAATATTTAGTAATTTTCTTTTGAAACTGCAGTTTAATTGTTTTTCTTTGAAGTTTAATTACTTTTTTAAATAGGAGATTTACCTAAGCACTGGTTTTACTATGTTTGTTTAGATAATACACACCAAGATCTCTGTTTACCAAATAGATTTGCTTAGGGATATAACAAAATTAGTAATTTCCAAGTTGTGTGACCTCAGCCCAAAATCGAGCTATGTGTCTAGGCTCTTTGAGCAGTTTCCTCTGAATTGCATCACAGGACAATAAAAGAAGTGACTAGCAAAATGCTTGAGGCAGAGAAGGCACTGAACACTAAATGAAGGCTAGATATTGTCTTTGCTGTAGTAATTATGGAATGACTTTAGAGAAAAACAAAGCTGAACCAGAATCTTTTCTTTCAGTAATCTCTAGGTAGAAATTATCAGCTGAGGAAGGAAAATTAGACATTACTTAACTGACCATCCAAGTTGATCCTCAGTTCTAGTGGTATTTTAGCAGAACACCACAATTCGCTGTACCCTGCATTTGGTGTGAATTTTAAGTCTTTAAGATAATTACATGCAAAGTGCCCTGCCAAGTGGGATTTTCCACTTTACCTCTTTGATTTTCACATAAGATCAGTTGACAGAATCCAATGTTCAAAACAAACAAATCACCACCACCACCACCACCAACAACAACAACATCAGCAACAACAACAACAACAAAAACCCAAAAAGAACTGTTTCCTGATTTGTATGGGGTGATTACAGTCAGGCATTGTTAGCTTTCCTGGAGAAAAGTCATTGATAAGAAGCAGTTGAACAAGGAATCAGCTAAAGGCCCAGTAATAGTTCAGAAGTATAGGATAATATTCCAAAGTGTAGTATTAGAATACATAGATGACACAGAAGGCATTGAACCTGGAAATGAATGCCCATAAATGGACTTGCAGGTTTGTTCAACTTCAATGACAATATGGATAAATTTTGATTGCTTATGTGTGAAAAATAATAATGGCAAAAACATAGCATAATACAGACACTGTAATCCATTTAATTCTGTTAAAAACCCACAAAGACAGGACTATTATAATTTTATAGATGAGGAAACCAAGATACAGAGAGGTTAAGTAACTTGTGCAAGGTCACGGGGCTTGTAAACCGCAGAGCTGGGTTTCAAACCAGATGTTCTATGCCCATATTTTTGTTTTTAGTTTATTTTTCATTGACAAATAATAATTGCATATATTTATGGAATAGAGTGATAATTTGATACAATGTTAAATGATGAAATCAGGACAATTAGCATTTCCATCTCCTTAAACATTTTTAATGTCTTTGTATTAGAGTCTTTGAATTCCTCTCCTCTAGCTCTTAAAAAAACATACATATATATATGTGTGTGTGTGTATATATATATATATATATATATATATATATATATATATATATATATATATATATATATATATATTTGTTGTTGTTGTTGTAGATGGACACAATACCTTCATTTTATTTATTTATTTTTGTATGGTGCTGAGGATCAAACCCAGTGCCTCACACGTGCCAGGCAAGTGCTCTACCACTGAGCCATAACCCCAGCCCTCTCGCCTCTAATTCTTTATAAATATGTACTAAGTTGTTGTAAACTGTGACCCCCTACTGTGCTGTAGAATACTAGAATTGATTCCTCCTATCTAATGTATTTTGGTACTGGTTATCCAACTCTATTTCCCCTTTCCCTTCCCTTCCTAGCTTCTAGTGACTATTGTTCTCCCCTGTACTTCTGTGAAATCAATTTCAAGCTTCTGCATATGAGTGACATCATGTGGCATTCGTCTTTTGGTGCCTGGTTCGTTTATTTATAATGTCTTCCAGTTCCATCCACATTGCTGCAAATATCTATGCCTGTATTCTTCATTTCCATCATACTACCTCTCTAATCAAGTGTCTTTCCTCTTTCCATTTTGAGATTAAATTACTTGTTTAGGTTCAGGGAGTTACTTGGACTGCATTATAGCAGCCACTGCTAAACCTGGTGGGCTTTTCTTCTAATTGAAGAAACATTACCATTGAAGCCTTTCCTCAAGGAAGGCCAAGATGGAGTCTGATCTCTTTAAAGTATGATGGTCTTCCCTTTAAAGAGATGGAGCTAGTCCTCACATTGTGTTGGCCCTCCGCATTCAGCAGTTGTGTGTTAAAACCTCCCCATGGTTTCCCACTTCACTCTGACTTAAAGCCAGTGTCCTTTTATCTGGTCTGTAGGACTTTGAGAAGTCTCTGACTTCATCTCTGACAGTCTTTTCCTGCTTCGCTCCACTTTGTACTCATTTTTCCTCACTCTTATTGAAACTCCCCACACCCGTGTCTGATTGGGAACCTGTGTATAGCCTTCATCTCTGACACCATGGTTACTTCATTGCTGAGTCTGCTGCTGTCGCCACTGGGTGGCTAAGGACAGAATTGGCTAACCTCAACTGGCCAAGTCAGCCTGTCCATGTGTTGTGTAGTATCTCTTTCAAGTGGACACTGTGTGGCCTATGTTGCTGTGCAACCTAAAGATCTCACACTTTATGTCCATTCTTACTGGTTGATCCACGTGTTTCTTCCCCAGAACTCCTTCTCAGTCTTCCAATATTACCCTTTATAGACTCTGTCGTGCCAGCTAAGCCATCACCACTGCCTACGAATCCACACCTATAATTATCTTGTAATGTTTCCCTTTCTATACAAAATAGATGGTCAGGTGACTGCTCAAAACTCTACCTGTTGGAAAGATGTCTCTTTATGGCTTTCTTTAAAGGCTACCCCTGAGTGGGGTTTTCATGCAGCAGCAGTCCATTTTAACTGGTTCTGACTTACCAAACTGATCATCTGTGAACACACTCAGTTTTTTTTTCTTTTCACTTCGTCATTTGGTCAAAGGTGTGAACTGATGGAGAGTCATTGGTACAGAGTCATTGGTGCAAGAGTTAAAGGTCACCTGGGAGTCTATACCCTCTGACGTAGGCTTTGTGATGCTCTATTGCCCTGCTTGTGTTTGACCCCAGATGTACCACTTCCATTTTGTAATGTGCATTATGACTTGGTAGGTTTGACGGTACCTAGCTCATGATAGGTAGTTTTGGCAACATGATCTTTTGATAGTCTATGGTCAGATGCTCCAACTTTACCAGGGTTCAGTAACATGCCAGGAGTTATGTTTTGTATGTTGGGTATTGCTCTACTATAGATGGCATGGCCTTGTTCCAGAATTTATGCTATGTTTCTTCTATTAGGTTTTACCAGAAACCTCAAGTGGTGTTTTTTCCTATACAGATTCCTGTATACCAGAAGTATGCTAGATAGCATGGCCCTAGTGGCAAGATTGCTCTTACTTCAGCCTGGACATGCTGAGGAACACTTTCTTTTTTTTTGGGTACCGGGGATTGAACTCAGGGACACGTGACCACTGAGCCACATCCCAGCCCTATTTTGTATTTTATTTAGAGACAGGGTCTCACTGAGTTGCTTAGTACCTTGCTATTATTGAGACTGACTTTGAACTTGTGATCCTCCTGCCTCAGCCTCCCGAGCTGCTGGGATTATAGGCTTGTGCCACTGTGCCCAGCCAGGAACACTTTCTTGCTTTTGGATCTCATTAATA